TAGAAATTTAGACTGTTTAAGTTGTTTTTCATTCCATAACCAAAGCTGCAGTGAACATGCTTTCTGTATGCTTCTCAGGAGCATGCGCAGCTGCTTCTCTAGGCTGCATACTTAAAGGTGGGACTGTTGGGTCATAAATCATTCACATCTAAAATTTTAATAGATACTGCCAAGTTTGCCCTCTAAAAAGTCTACATCAATTTTCAGTCCCATCAACATGAATGAAATTACCTCGTGTTAGTGGATATTATACCATCTTTTTGTTTTTGCAGATCTGATGGATAAAAAATATTTCATTGTTTCATTTTGCATTTCTCTAATTACTGGGGAAGTTGAATGACCATCATTTCCTATGTTGATTGTACATTAGTATTTCCCCTTCTGTAAACTATCTGTTTATTTCTTATTGAATTATAGAAGCTCTTTTTCCATTTTAGAAGAATCCTTTGTCTATTATTTAAGCTGCAAATATCTTCTCCCCATCTGTAGCTTGTTTTTACTTTTGTTTATGGTATCTTTCAATATAAAATGGGTTTTTCATTTTAATGAATTTAAATCCATCAGTCTTTTCTTCTATGACTTTTGAATTTTGCGTCACAATTGGAAAAGCCTTCTCTACCCCCAAAGTTATAAAAATATTCTCTGATGTTTTCTCCTTGTATTTTTAGAAATCTGTTTTTAGTCCAATGAGAATCTATTTTTGTGAATGGTGTTTGTGTGAGAGGGTCTCGTTTTATTTTTTTCCTAAATAGATGGCCTATTTTCCCAGCATCATCTCTTGAATAGTCCATTCTTCCCCTGCTGACTTACATATGCTAAATTTCCATATGAGCAGGAATCTGGTCTTAGACTGACTTTTCTGTTCCATTGCTCTTTTAGCTATTCTGATGCCTTTACATCCTTACTTTCCATTCACTCAGTAATCACAGTAATCTGGCTTCTACCCACAGTTTCCCTCGAACTATTATTCTGAAACGTATTACTGACCTTCACATCACCGAACGCAATGAATATTTTTTAGTTCCGGTCTTCCTGGATACCACGTATCATTCCCTCCCATATTTTACATGATTTAGCTGTCCCTTGATTCTTCGATCAATAAAAATCATGATCATAATATCTTCAGTTTATGAGGCAGTAACTCTGTGCCAGGTGTTTGAGCATTTCATATTCCACACATGTCAAATGTGCTTCACCACAACTCTCTAAGGTAGGTGTTATTATTACCATCATCATCATCCCCATTTTACAGATGAGAAAACTGAGGCATAGAAAATGTAAGTACCTTGTTCAAGATCCCTGGGCTAAAAAGACAGCAAGATGAAATTTGAAGCCAGGTCTGAGACCAAAGCCTAGGTTCCTAAGCACTCCCCTCTCCAGCCTGTCCTTCTCAGTCTCTCCCTTAAATCCCCTTTTCTCCAGCATCCTTTTTTATTTTTATTTTTATTTTTATTTTTATTTTTTTTTTGAGACGGAGTCTGGCTCTGTCGCCCAGGCTGGAGTGCAGTGGCCGGATCTCAGCTCACTGCAAGCTCCGCCTCCCGGGTTTATGCCATTCTCCTGCCTCAGCCTCCCAAGTAGCTGGGACTACAGGCGCCGCCACCACGCCCGGCTAGCTTTTTGTATTTTTTAGTAGAGACGGTGTTTCACCGTGTTAGCCAGGATGGTCTCGATCTCCTGACCTCGTGATCCGCCCGTCTCGGCCTCCCAAAGTGCTGGGATTACAGGCTTGAGCCACCGCGCCCGGCTATTTTTATTTTTCAAGATGGAGTCTCACTCTGTTGTCTAGGCTGGAGAGACATGGCATGATCTCAGTTCACTGCAACCTCCGCCTTCCGGGTTCAAGCAATTCTTGTGCCTCAGCCTCCTGAGTAGCTGGGATTACAGGCACACACCACCATGCCCGGCTAATTTTTTGTATTTCTAGTAGAGATGGGGGTTTCACCATGTTGGCCAGGCTGGTCTTGAACTCCTGGCCTCAAGTGATCCACCCACCTCGGCCTTCCAAAGTGCTGGAATTACAGGCTTAAGCCACTGTGCCCTGCCTCCAGCATCATTTAAATTGTAGCTTTCCGCAGTATCCGGGCTTAGTCATTCCTCTTCCCAGTTTATGCATGTGCCCTTGTAAAGCGGGATATTCTAATGCCCTGTTTCAATGCAGTTTCACTGGCATACCTATGCTAATATGGCCCTAACAGCATGAAGAAAACATAGCTTTTTATTATACATCCCTGGAGCTCACTCCACCCTTGCTCCTAGTGCAGTTTCAAGGAGGCTTTTCATTTCTACTTATTTGATTTATTATAAGTATGCATCACATTTATAATCAGGAAGAAACAATAGGGGTATCTTAAAAATATAACGGAAGGAGATTTGCCTCTGAGGGGCAGTATCTGTTCAGTCCTCCCAAGCCATTATTATCAAGGCATTATCCAATGTTAGATATGTTGAATGTATGTAACTGAAAGAATTGTAAGAAATGTAACTGAAGTTTCTGAGCCATCTGCAGCTGAGATTAAGCACTCATAATGTGGCCCAAATATCCTTTCTCCAAAGTTTAATTTATTCTCAACCAAACAAGATTAGCACAATAAGCACGCCTATAAAAAGCAGAGGTGGCCAGGCCCAGTGGCTCATGCCTGTAATCCCGGCCATTTAGGAGGCTGAGGCTGCGGGGGGATCACTTGAGGTCAGGAGTTCGAGACCAGCCTGGCTAACATGGTGAAACCCGGTCTCTACTAAAAATACAGAAAAATTAGCAGGGTGTGGTGGTGTGCAACTGAGTCCAGCTACTCTCGGGAGGCTGAGGCAGGAGAAACACTTGAACCCCGGAGGTGGAGATTGTAGTGAGCTGAGATTGTGCCACTGCACTCCAGCCTGGGTGACAGAGTATGATTCCAGCTTAAAAAAAAAAAAAAAAAAAGCAGAGATGTCTTTTTTCTTTTTTCTAGATTTTCAAATGCAAAACAGAACTCAGTTCCATTATTAAGAAGCTACATATATTTATTCATTATAAGGAAGTGAGTGTGGCTGTTGTAGTAACTTTAAGGGGGAAATAAAAGAATTTGACATAAAGTTCATCTAAGCAGCAAGAGAATCCTGAAAGGATGAGAAGACCCTCTGCTTAAAATGATGAATGGCCCTTTCTGAGATAAGCACATGTGATAACCATGTGACTTCTGGTTAAATGCAGATGGTACCTGACCCACCCCTTATCACGTCCCCATCTCTGAGCCTCACCTAGTCTTCACTCACATACATTCTCAACCCCCCACATCTTTTTGTTTTGTTTTGAGACAGAGTCTTGCTCCGCCGCCCAGCCTGGAGTACAGTGGTGCAATCTCAGCTCACTGCAACCTCTGCTTCCCAGGTTCAAGTGATTCTCCTGCCTCAGCCACCCGAGCAGCTGGAATTACAGGCACCCCCCACCACACCCAGCTGATTTTTGTATTTTTAGTAGAGATGGGGTTTCATGATGTTGGCCAGGCTGGTCTCGCACTCCTGACTTCAAGGGATCTGCCCGCCTCAGCCTCTCAAAGTGCTGGGATTACAGGTGCAAGCCACCTTTCCTGGACCCCTCCTACCTGTCTGCTTATTCCTGTTCAGTCCCTTTTCAGGATGTCTTTTCCTCCATCTATTGACTTAACATCCTGAGGTTTTTGTCTTTAGCCCAGTGTTCTTCTTACTTTACTCTGATCCCTGGGTGATTTTACATGTGTCCATGGTTGGAACATATCACCTCTACCTTGATAACCCAATCTATATTTCTAGCCTCTTCTGATCTCCATCTCTGTGTGTTCAACTGCCTACTGCTGAAGGTCATTGCGTATCTCAGTATTCCTCAGACAGATCAAACTTGACATGTCCAAAACAGAGCTGATTATTTTGAACCCTGGTTCTCTTATGGAACGCCATCACCAATGCCCACTCTACAAAGCCAGAAATTTGGGCCTCATTCTAGATTTCTCTTTACACTTCACAACCTCACACCAAGTCTCTACCAAGTCTTGTTGATATTTACCTACTCAGTATTCAGCAAATCTGTCTCCTCTTCCCTATCTCAGCACCTATTTTACCTCTTGCCTCGATCATAAAATCTTCTGTGATCTGGCACCTGCGTACCTCTTCAGCCTCATCTCCCCCTGTTTTTTCCCCAAGCTTACTCCAAATGCTAGCCCAGGGGCACAACCAGGTTTTTCCAGCCCTTATGCTTAAGCAATTTGAAAGACTCTCTGAGGAAAATAATACAACGTTGTGATTGAACATTAGTTACAGAGCTTTGGAAGTGGCCTGTGCAATCTTCATTAGCTTCACAGTGACTCTGCCTCTCTCTAGCCAAAGAGAGCAAGCTGCACTTCCCTAGAACGTACCAGAATCCTGCACATCACTTTGCCTTTATACAGGCAGTTAATTCTGCCTGAGATGCCCCTCTCTCCCTTCCCTTGTCTGTCTGGCAAAACAGTTCGTCCTTCAAGAGTCGACTCCGGAGGCACACCCTTTGTGAAGGCTTCCCTGACCTCCCTACGTAGAATTGACTGTTCTTGCCTTTGTGTTCTCATTGTAACTTGTCGTTTATCTCTTTGTACCCCGTCCTTTACAGAACATCTTAAACTCTATGGAAATTATTTGCTTAAAACCGGTTTTGCCTGTGAGTGCCTCAAGGGCAGAGACTAAGCCATTCCTTTTTAGATGGTCAGAACTCCACAGTACCTGGCGCAAGGTGGGAGCTCAATAAAAGTTTGCCACATGGAATTGAGACCTGACCCATGTATATGAGAAAGACACCCTTCTTTTGGCAAAGTGAGTGGAGTGGAACAGTTGCTGTAGACAGGGACACTGGACGGGGCCGATGCTTGGGAGGTACCTGCTGCTGCCCACACCATTCTGGGAGGACAGGCCCGGGCCTGGTAACTGTGCTGTCTTCAAGACCCACGTGGTGAGTTCCTCTGTGCGGCCCTCTACCAACCTCTCCACCTTTGCCACCCTACCGCCTTCCTTACCTGTCCTCTTTGTTGATCTGGTCCCCAAAGCCAACTGTGCTAACGATCGTGAGCTTTAGCCTCACGTTGCTCTCTTGGAGGTCATAGGTATTAGACTGGAGCTGGACACCCGGCTGTGTGTGGGTGGCTGGCTCCCCTTCGAACTTGGTGTTGAACAGGGTGTCCATGAGGGTGGACTTGCCCAAACCTGTCTCTCCTGAAAAGCAAAAGGATAAATTATGGTCTGTTCACATATAGTGACTATTCAGCCCTTACACATCATGTCTCAGATACACATTTGTTGACATGGGAAAATGAACATAATAAAACATAAAGCAAAAAGCAGATAGAAGCAGATGAACTGTATGATCTCAGTTAAATGGAAAAGACTAAAAGGAACTATACAGATGGATCAGTAGTAGTTATCTCAGATAGTAGAATTGAGGTAGTTTTCATTTTATTCTTCCAATTTTTTTTCTGTCATTTGGAAATTTTACCTTGAGTATACACTGCTTTTTTTTTTTTTTTTTTTTTTGAAATGGAATCTTGCTCTGTCACCCAGGCTAGAGCACAATGGCGCGATCTCGGCTCACTGCAACCTCTACCTCCCGGGTTCAAGTGATTCTCCTGCCTCAGCCTCCCGAGTAGCTGGGATTACAGGCACCCACCACCATGCCCGGCTAATTTTTGTGTTTTTAATAGAGATGGGGTTTCACCATCTTGGCCAGGCTGGTCTCAAGCTCCTGACCTTGTGATCCACCCGCCTCAGCTTCCCAAAGTGCTGGGATTACAAGCGTTAGCCACCGCACCTGGCCGAGTATATGTTGCTTTTATAGTCAGAAAAAGAAATTGTTATAGGCAGTGATGGAGAGGTATAGCTACGCCTAGAAAAAAAAGACTGGAAGGAAATACAATATACTCTTATCAATGGCTATCTCTGAGTGGTGACCTTATGTGTGGTTTTCATCCCTTTCTTTATGCTTTTCTATATTTCCCAACTTTTCTAAATGGAATATGTATAGTTTTTGCCATAAAAATTAAAGGAGTATTTTAATTTTTTTAAAAAAAGGACAGCAGTGGCCAGGCGTGGTGGCTCACGCCTATAATCTCAGCACTTTGGAAGCCTGAAGCAGGCAGATCACTTGAGGTCAGGAGTTCAAGACCAGCCTGGCCAACATTGTGAAACCCTGTCTCTACCAAAAAAAAATATTATACATACACAATTTAGCCAGGCATGGTGGCAGACGCCTGTAATCCCAGCTACTGAAAGGCTGAGGCAGGAGAATTACTTGAACCAGGGGAGGCGGAGATTGCAGTGAGCTGAGATCATGCCATTGCACTCCAGCCTGGGCAACAGAGTGAGACTCCATCTCAAAAAAAAAAAAAAACAGTGGTACCTTGTCAAACAAATATCCTCTCATTCCAGTCCCCACCTCTCCTCCCTGCCAAGCCTAAACAGCCCTCTGGGGATGCCCCAGATGTGCCTCCCAGTGGTGAAAACTATGCAGGCTCCTGGCTTATCCTCCCATCCTGGTTGAATGGTTGAACTTTCGGTGAGACCATTTTTAACTAAGAGGGGTGGGGTGGGGAGACTTAGCAGGCCACAAAAATTCTTCTTCTTTTTTTCTTTTTTTTTTTTTTTTTTGATACAGCGTCTCACTCTGTCGCCCAGGCTGAGTGCAGTGGCGCAGTCTCGGCTCACTGCAGTCCCTGTCTCCCGGGTTCAAGTGATTCTCCTGCCTCAGCCTCCGAAGTAGCTGGGATTACAGGCGCCAGCCACCATGCCTGTCTAATGTTTGTATTTTTAGTCAAGATGAGGTTTCACCATGTTGGCTCGGCTGGTCTCAAGCTCCTGACCTCTGGTGACCCACCCGCCTCAGCCTCCCAAAGTGCTGGGATTGCATGAGCCACCGCGCCTGGCCCTTATCCTTAAATTTTAAACAAACTAGCCATTTATTTGTTTAACTACTAGGCTGCGAGATACTAATAAATCAAACCATTGGAATTTTTAAAGTCTTGAACTTCACACTGAGGAAACAAGTAGGGGAAGGGCTATGGCAGACTGGTGAAGATTTTGGGAGCTTATTCCTGGGAGATCAAGGGATAGCAAGCCACTGTCAGGAGCCAACGAGACTTCAGGGAATGGGACATCACAAGAAGTCTGGAGTTGGTGACAAGGGAGCTAAACAGGAATCTGATATGAGGCCACAAACTGGGCTGGACACTAAAACTGCTTATAATCTCTACAGATCCAGGCTGTATTTGACCCCTGAGCCCACCCCAAGTGACTCAGGAATACCAGGAATTAAAGAGTCAGTAGAGAGGCGGGCACTACGAAAAGAGGATATCATTAATTACTCTGGCCTGCCCTTTGAAGACAAAGACTACCCTCCCGTTTATTCTATCATCATCCCTGTTTTTCCCTCTCCTCTCCCCAGCCCAGGGGGGATGTGAGCCTCGACTTCTCTTCACAGTCGGGACTGCGTTTGCATTGGGCAAATTGTGGCCTGCCAAATCCCACCTTGGGACCAAAAGCACACATCTGCAGGGTGGTTCAGGGCTAGGGTTAGAGCTACATGATGTAGAACTGAAAATGCTCCATCTTCCCTCCCCCTCTGGGTGTGTCTAGCCTGCTTCTTTTTTTTTTTTTTTTTTTTTTTTTTTTTTTCATCCCTGTTTTTCCCTCTCCTCTCCCCAGCCCAGGGGGGATGTGAGCCTCGACTTCTCTTCACAGTCGGGACTGCGTTTGCATTGGGGCAAAATTGTGGCCCCGCCAAATCCCACCTTGGGACCAAAAGCACAAGCATCTGCAGGGGGTGGTTCAGGGCTAGGTTAGAGCGCATGATGTAGAACTGAAATGCTCCATCTTCCCTCCCTCTGGGTGTGTCTAGCTCTCAGTTTTTTTTTTTTTTTTTTTTTTTTTTTTTTTTGAGACGGAGTCTTGCTCTGTCACCCAGGCTGGAGTACAGTGGCCGGATCTCAGCTCACTGCAAGCTCCGCCTCCCGGGTTCACGCCATTCTCCTGCCTCAGCCTCCCGAGTAGCTGGGACTACAGGCACCCGCTACCACGCCCAGCTAATTTTTTGTATTTTTAGTAGAGATGGGGTTTCACCGTGTTAGCCAGGATGGTCTTGATCCCCTGACCTCGTGATCTGCCCGCCTCGGCCTCCCAAAGTGTTGGGATTACAGGCGTGAGCCACCGCGCCCAGCCTAGCCTGCTTCTTTTATCCCAAATAATGAGCTATGAATGCAGGAGGTGCCTTTTAAAATATCTGTGTATGATGAGAGTTTTCTGTGTGTGGACAGAGAGAAGGAGAGAGAGAGAGAAGAGATAAGAGACAGGAGGGAGACAGGGAGAGGAAGGGAGAACAAGGAGAACATTCAATTCAGTCTGGCTACCCGGCCCCCCAGCCCAATTTCATAGCCAGGTCTGACTAACTTGGTAAATTGCCAGAGTGTGGGGAAATGGTTCCTCACACAGATCATGTTTCAGACCAGGGTCTGCTATATCCATTAGCAGCAAAGACTCTTGAAGAAGAGGCCCCCTTTTTCCTCCCCTAAAGAAACAGGAAGTATTTGGGTCCCAAGAAGAATTTTATGAGGTGGGGCCTTTGCCATGGGAGGTGGCAGACTTGGCCAAGCAGTGGAATGTATCACACCCCACCTCACCCAAATTTGGGGTGCACCTTAACTGCAAACGGGGCCAGTACCTTAGAGGTGGGAGCACAGTGTGGCTCTCACATCCTAACTCACCTCCCCTCTCAAGGGCACTGAGGTTTGAGCTACAGTTTAGCTCATCTTCTTGTGTGCCTGACAAATTTTCCATGTACATCCTTACCCCCAACTCCCTCCCATGGAACAGAAGGGAGCTCATGGAACAGAACCATCCTTACCCCCAACTCCCAAACCCTTCTGTTCCATGAGCTCCCTGCCGAATGCCCTGTAGCTCCTAGGGAGTGGGGGTCCTGTTTCCCTAGCACCCAGAGTGGGCACCCTGACTCCCTGATCCTAAGAATTCTCAGAGAGCAGGAGATGGGGCATCTTCCAGTACCCCCGGGAGTGCCTAACCCAAGGTTCACACAGAAGGCCTCAGGGGCAGCAGCGCATCGTGAGGGACCCACCCTGTTTGCACAGCTGGAGGAATGGGGGCCGGGCAGGGCAGGACAGGGAGCTGGAAGGAACAGCAGGAGAAATGACCACCCAAATGCCTGCTGGCACAAAAGGGCTGTGGAAATTAGATGCCAAATAACGAATGTCTGGAAGAAAAGAACACCCGGGTGTCTAGGGAATTGAGATAAATGGAATAGTAGAGAGGGCAGAAAATCAAGCGAACTCGTCCTATGGTTATCGAGAGCTCCTGTTCCAGTTTTCCATCAGTGTGGAGCCTGGGGGTCGGGGAGGCTTCCTCTCAATGACTGGCACAGACCCAGCCTGAGCCGAGGATGCTGCCCCTCCTACAGCTGCCCTGGGTCCAGTACTGAGTGTGAGTGTGTTGTGAGGGAGAGGCACACATGACCTAACTGGGATCGGGTCAGCAGATTCCACGCCCCTGCAGGAAGGTGGGGACTTGGCAATTAGATTCCAGCAGGAAACCTGAGGAGTCCCGAGGGGTCAATTTCTCACTCCTCTTCCCCCAGCCCTCCCAGAGCTCCTCTGAGTGGATAGTAAGGTTTTTAATGCATGCTCCACCAGCTAAGAGGCTTTCATCTCACTTTGCTTAATGTAGATAGTATTCTAGAAACAACAGTTTTAAAAACATTTTTAAACATATATGAGTACTATGAAATATATTTTTTTCAAACTATACTCTTGCGGGGCACGGCGGCTCAGGCCTGTAATCCCAGCACTTTGGGAAGTCGAGGCGGGTAGATCACCTGAGGTCAGGAGTTGGAGACCAGCCTGGCCAACATGGTGAAACCCCAGCTCTACTAAAAATACAAAAATTAGCCGGGCATGGTGGCAGGCTCCTGTAATCCCAGCTACTCGGGAGGCTGAGGGTGGAGAATCGTTAGAACCCGAGAAGCAGAGGTTGCAGTGAGCCAAGATCTCACCACTACACTCCAGTCTGGGTGACAGAGCGAGACCCCATCTAAGAAAGAAAGGAAAGAGAGAGAGAGCGAGAGAGAGAGAGAGAGAGACAGAAAGAGAGAGAAAAAGAAAAGACTTCTAGCCAGGTTATTGCTAAGTTACTGTGTGACATGAACTGAGCCCTTTCCC